TCGGCGGTGACGTCATCGGCGAGGTCGTCCCAGGCGCCGTCGAGGTCCCCGGTGATGTCACCCAGCAGGGAGGAGGTGATGTCATCGGCGGTGATGACGTCATCGGCGGGGAGGGAGCCCGGGCCGGGGACGGTGACGTCGTCGTCCTCGGTGACGTCATCGAGGAGGTCGTCTTGATTTGTGACGTCATCGGGGAGGTCGTTTTGATGTGTGACGTCATCGGGGAGGTCGTTTTGATGTGTGACGTCATCGGGGAGGTCATCCCGGAGGATGACGTCATCGCTGAGATGCCCCCAGGCTATGACGTCATCGATGACGTCATCCCCGGGCAGGGACGGGACGCGGCGGACGGCGATGATGTCATCAACGTGGGCGCCCACGCTGACTGCGTCATCGGTGACGTCACCTCCCACCGTGACGTCATCGTCCCCGGGGAGCGGGGGCGTGGCATCGCCCCAGGCAATGACGTCACCAGGGAAGCCACGCTCGATGACGTCATCGGCGATGCCGCTCTCCGGGGCAATGACGTCATCAGTGAGGGTGTGCAAGGTGATAATGTCATCTGTGATGACGTCATCAGTGACATCATCTAGATCTTGTGGGAAGTCGCTCTCTGTGGTGACATCATCGGTGACGCCACGGGTGATGATGTCATCAATGAAGTCACGCCCAGGGACGATGATGTCAGCGGTGACGTCACTCACGGGGACGGTGATGTCATCAGTGACGCCACTCCCAACGTGGGAGGCGATGACGTCACTGTCAGCGATGACGTCACCAGCGAGAGCTTCCCGCGGGGCAGAGGAAGTGACGTCATCACCGTTGGTGACACCGGCGGTGACATCATCCCCCGGCACAGCGGAAGTGACGTCACCCTCGGCTGTGACATCACTAGCGGGTGGAGGGGAGGGGCTGCCCCGCCCCTCAATGACGTCATCGCCCTCACCACCCACGGGGACCTCGGCAGCGATGACGTCATAGGCCGTGACGTCATCATCGGAGACTTCCTCTTCCTCTGGGGGCGGGGCCAGCACGGTGATGGTGATGCCACCGGCCCGGCAGGTGACAGTGCTGTCCCCAAACTCCCTGTCCCCGATGTCCCCGTCCCCCGTGTCCCTCGGGGAGGTGACATCGCTGTCCCCACTGTCCCTGTCCCCGCTGTCCCCCAGAGCCAGGACAGGGCTGTCCCCAAGGTCCTCCATGTCCCCCAGGGCGGTGGCATCTCTGAGCCTGCTGTCCCCATCCCTGGGGACAACGCTGTCCCCAATGTCCCCCGGCGCTGGGACAGCCCTGTCCCCGCTGTCCCTGTCCCCAGTGTCCCTCGGGGAGGTGGCACCGCTGTCCCCACTGTCCCTGTCCCCAGGAGCTGCACCGTCTTTGTCCCAGATGTCCCCAGGGACGGTGACATCCCTGTCCCCACTGTCCCTGTTCTTGGACACCTGAATGTCCCCAGTGTCCCTCAAGACTGGGACATCCCTGTCCCCAAACTCCCTGTCCCTGCTGTCCCTCAGGGAGGTGACGTCACTGTCCCTGATGTCCCTGTCCCCACTGTCCCTGTCCCTGCTGTCCCTCGGGGAGGTGACACTGCTGTCCCCACCATCCCTGTCCAGGGGGGCTGGGCCATTCCGGTCCCCGCTGTCCCCCAGGTTTGGGATGTCCCTGTCCCCGCTGTCCCCCAGGTTTGGGATGTCCCTGTCCCCGGTGTCCCCCAGGCTGGGGACAGCTCTGTCCCCGCTGTCCTCGTCACACGGCCTGGGGACACGGCCCTGTCCTCCATCAGCGGTGACCGTCACGTCCCCGATGTCACCAAGGTCACCAAGGTCCCCGAGATCCCCCAGGTCCCCAACGTTCTTCAGGTCCCCGATGTCCCCAATGTCCCCGATGTCCCCAAGGTCCCCGATGTCCCCGAGACCCCCGATGTCTCCAACGTTCTTCACAACCCTGATGTCCCCAATGTCCCCAAGGTCCCTGAGGCCCCCCAGGCCCCCAACGTTCTTCAGGTCCCCAATGTCCCTGATGTCCCCGATGTTCTTGTTGTCCCCAAGATCCCTGATGCCCCTGATGTTCTTCATGTCCCCGATGTCCCCAATGTCCCCGAGACCCCCGATGTCCCCAGCGTTCTTCACGTCCTCGATGTCCCCAAGGTCACCAATGTTCTTCACATCCCTGATGTCCCCGATGTCCCCAACATCCCCCAAGTCCCCGATGTCCCCAATGTTTTTCATGTCCCCAAGATCCCCAATGTCCCTGATGTTCTTCGGGTCCCCAATGTCCCCGAGACCCCCGATGTCCCCGACGTTCTTCACGTCCCTGATGTCCCCAAGGTCCCCAATGTTCTTCACATTCTTGATGTCCCCAATGTCCCTGCTGTCCCCGATGTCCCCAGCATTCTTGATGTCCCCAAGGTCCCTGATGCTCTTCACATCCCTGAAGTCCCCAATGTCCCCGATGTCGCCAAGTTCCTCAATGTTCCCACTGTCCCCGATGTCCCCAACGTTCTTGATGTCCCCGATATCCCCAGTGTCCCCCCCAATATCCCCACTGTCCCCAATATCCCCACTGTCCCCAATGCCCCCACTGTCCCCGATGTCCCCAACGTCCCCAATGTCCCCCCCGCTGTCCCCAATGTCCCCCCCGCTGTCCCCTCCGTCCCCGCTGTCCTCCTCGGCCGGCGCAGCGGTGACAGTGATGGTGATGCCGCTGGCCCAGGGGGTGACGGTGACGGTGCCACCCCCGGGCTGTCCCCAGGCGGGGTCGGGCGGTGTCACCTCCCCGGGGGGGACACGGGGGGAGGGGCAACCCTCGGCCATGGGGGGACCTGGGGGGGGGACAGAGGTGGGGTCAGCGGGGGAGGGGAGGGGGGGAGGGGACACAGAGGGATGGGGTGGGGGAGGGGACAGG